CTTTCTTTTTTTTTTTTTTTTTTGTTTGTTTAAATGCTGGTCTCATGCACGAGCTTCGTCAATTCCGGGAGGGCCAGATTATTGGAGCTGAGAAGCAGGGTGTTGTTTCCAGTGTTGTTGCTGTCTCTGTTGTTGCTACTCTGCATCTGCGTATGGTTGGGTTGCTGGGCCTGGTTTAGGGCGCTATTGGACGAGGATCTATTATTGGTGGTGTTTATGGTGGTGTTATGATGGTGGTGCGCGTTGCCGGCGGGTGGCCCGGCGACGGTGAGCAACAACGGCGACGTCGTGGAGCTGTTCATCATCCTTGCGTGGTCCACCGGCAACAGCTCGGCGTTTGTCTTGCTGGCCCTGCCGGCGGCGTTCACCGCGGCGTTTGTCGGGTCTTCGTCAATGTACGTGAAGTCGGACAGTGGTCGGGGCCCGGTGTGGCTGCGTGAGCTGCGCATACTGTGTAAGCTGTGTAAACTATGGACAGAGCGACGCTCCTCCAAATCTTCCAGAGTCGACTTGAACGCTCTTATTACTCGAAGCTGCAAAAACAGGGAAGAGGATGTTCTATCAGGAAGCGAGGAGGCAAGCCAGCGACACACAAGCACATCATATATATACTTGTACTTTTATCTCAATTCGCAAATGTGTGTGTCTAATATAATAACACTTTTTTATGTTTTTCTCATGTCACGTAGGGCTGTGCTCTCTCTACATATGTATATATACATGTGCATATGTACATATACACACATAGAGACAGTACTACCCATGTATGCACTTCTCTCTTTTTTTTTTTCTTTTCTCGGTGGTGTGTGTGTTTCGGTGACACAGTCGCTTACGCGACTGGGTTGTGGTCCTTTGATCACTGGGTGTGTATGTGTATGTGTGTATGTGTTTGTGTGTGTTTCTCCTCTGTCCCGTTCCTCGCAGGGGAGAGAGAGACACCCGGTTCTCTTGCGGGGATAATTCAAGTGTACAAAGCTCTCCGGTACAGCTTTAGCTTTTCTTTTCTTCCTTTTTCTCTCTAATCAATGTCGTGTAGTGTTCGTGTGTACACACACATGTGTGTATATGTGTGTGCACATATATATATGTATGGTCTGGTCTAGTGTTGCATATACACTGACAGGTGGGTTTGTTCTCTTCGCCATGTGGACCTGTGGTTGCATTTCACCCGAGTTCATCACACTTCATCAAACGTTTTGCGTTTTCTTTTTTTCTTTCTGGGGGGAAGGGACGTGGCTCTACCGCCCAGGCGTAACATGCGCGCATCTACCTTTACTGTGCGTACCTACCTACTAATATTTTCTGGCTAGAAGCCGAGGGACTTACAGGGGACCAAATAAAAAAGAACAGAAAAAAGTACAAACAAAAGAACAAAACAAAAACGAGCGAGGAGCAGCTTCCTCGCGCGACAAACTCGACAAATTCCTCCTCTCAATTGTTAATTCACTTCATTCATTTTTGGTTCTTCTAGGTTCAGAGGAATGCGAGAAACACAACACCCGATTCTGAACACAGCGAATCGCCATGATATCCTTCTGATCGACACGGTAGCACACCTCTTCCTAGAAAAGTATAAACACGTTGAATCCAAGTGGTGCAAAATTTACAGATAAACATTTCGTTCGGACGAAACGAAAACTAATGCTAAAATGAAGATACCGAGCGATACTCACTTTTGGGTTTAAACATGCGTCTAACAACACAACAGAGCCGATCAGAGAAGTCTCACGGACACAGAGACGAGAACAGACGAGAGTCTTAACAATTATTAGATTGCTGCAACAATCTCAAACGTGAAACTGTTTCTATTGAGTGTTTCGATTGGAAATGGCCCCAGGCGACAATCGCGGTTTCGACGACCCCCAGGAGGGCTAATTTTGATGAAGCACACGCTTGAACCGTGACCGTGAAGGGGGAGAAGAGTCAAGCGTAGAAAATTGGAATTTTGGAGATAGAGATAGCAACAGAGAGAGAGAGAGAGAGAGAGAGAGAGAGAGAGAGAGAGAGAGAGAGAGAGAGAGAGAGATACATAGACAGAGAGAGACAAACAGAGAAATTGAACAAGAAAAAGAGGAGAGAATTTTAACAATTTTGTGTGTGTGTGTGTGTACATTTTGAAATGAAAGAGAAAGAAGACAGAAGAGAGATGGAAGGGAAGTTCTATAAATTAAATATAACATTCTCCTGATCTCGTCGGATCAGTTCATCGTCCTTGCACTCCACTGTTTGTGACAGACAACCGAGTGGAATCTCTCTTCGTGCTGATTCAAAGCTTCTCTCTCCTTTGGACACTAAATTGCAAACGAATCGATGCACGCGTGTTGCGAATCAATCAATCTTCGCTTGCTTCAACAAGGTGCAAATAATCTTCGATTACACGTATTTATCAACTTTCTTACATTTAATTCACGCTTCTTCTTTATGTTCTTCGGTCGAGTCTGGCTTGAACTCGACTAATCACATATATTATCTGCTTTGCAGCAACTGAAAATCTGACGCTTCGTGATCCTAACCAATCTTTTCAATCGCACGATGCTTGAAGTAACATTTGAAAACGAGTCTATTTGTTTATCGTTCAACGGCGAGAGAGCCCTGACATTCAAAGTTCAATCATAGCTTTGCACGTTTCCTCGCGTTGGAGAACCTCAAGTGGTGAACTTCAAGTCCACTCTGCTGGGCGCAACGTGTGACACTTGTGAGTACAAGTGAATCGGGGGCCAAAGAGGATGCCCTTGGATCCCGATTTTCGGTCGGTTCGCATGCCGGCGGGTTACAACAGCAATTAAAACACACGGCAATTATATAAGCTGCTATAGAAGCTTCTGGTTTCTAACGAGACCCTTTCTTTCATTTCTTCTTTTTTTTTTTTTTTCTTTGACTTGGTTTAGAACAACGCACAAACCCATCGCTGTGAACAAACTCAATCATTCTATGGCCACTCGCGCACAATGCACAATGTGTGTGTGTGTCTGTGTGTGTTAGAGGTCGGGCAAAACAGAAGAAGACAGAAAGAAAAAACACAAAATCGATGCAAACGTGAGCAATCGTGCACACGCACACTCAAACGAGAAACAGATTAAGATAAACTTGAGTGGTGGTAGGTAACATTGGCGCTGGGTTATCTGCCTCTGTCGTCGGTCTTTCGCTAACTTGTTTTTGATCAAGCTTCGAGCGATAACTCGTGATCAGATGCAATAACCCATGTGGGGGCCAGCGTGTGGCAGAAGAGGAGAGAAAAGTTAAGTGACAAACACTCGTCTCCATGGGGAGGATGATCGGTCCTCCGCGCGACAGGAGAGTAGACACGCCGTGAAATTTCTTCCTAAAGACAGAGATCAGTGTATTCGCTGCTTGCAAACTTCTAAAAGAAGACTTTTCACGGGCTGCCGTGTCCGAAGGCTGTTGACAAACGCAAACAGAAACGCAAGCAGCAGAATGAGGAGGAAAGAGTGAGAGAGAGAGAAAGAGAGAGATAAGGAGAAACTGCTCAACCAGCCAGAACCTTTTTTTCTTTTTTTTTTTTCAAAGAAAAGAAAAAAAGTTGGACGACACTGCCCCTCTTTCGTCAGTGGCAGTTTATTCAATTTCGTCGATACCAAAACAAAAGAGGGGATAATCGTGTCTGGTTTAAAAGACAGCCACACACAGCCGCTTCTTTCTTTTTCTTTTTTATCGTAGTTGTTATGTTCACACGAACAAGAACGATGCACAATGGTGGCACAATATGGAGGAGAAAGAGATGGAGGAGAGGAGAACACGCAGCACACAATCATGTCAGACAGACAGCTATAGACTACTGAAAAAAGGGGGAGGGGGCGGGCGGTGGTCCATCAACGCAAGAGGCTCTCCTCCATCGACTCCACCGACCAACTCACACCCACTACACAAAAAAAAAAAAAAAAAAAAAAAAAAAAAAAAAAAAA